TTCAGCTCCTGAAGCACATTAAATCAAAATCCATATCAACCTCTCTAGTATTGTGTTGGGTCATATCTGTATGGCACTGCAACAATTCTAAAAACACCAACATATGGTTGAAAGCCAGGCGCTCTGTTTTTCACTTAAATCTCCTGCCCTTCTATTTCTCTTTCTTCTCTCACCATTTCCTCAATTTCTTCTCTTCACTCTCTCGTTGATGCTCGCTGAAGATGACGTCAAGCACGTGCTCTGTAGCTCCGGTGATAATTCCTATAAAATGAAGAGGCAATGGATGTCTATGGAGTCCATACACCTGGTGCCGCCGCTCCTGCTGACCAGAGGTCCACGTTCCGGCTGCCTAACCCAGAGCCATTCAGCCTTTCAGCACGTAGATCCACATTTAGACTTTAGTTTTCTTTTTTTAAAATCAAAGTTGTCTCCTTTAGATCCATTGTTTTGTCCCAGGACCGGGAGGTCTTGGTTAACAGGGTCACCCCGTGAAGTTTGTGCCTTTTCAGTCACGCACAACAGTCTTGACTAGAAACATTTACCAGGTCAGAGGACTTACTTCTAGTCTCGCTGAGTGAACCCCTTTTCAACCTGTAATGAACTAGATCCAGAAGGAATGTTTCAAGTAATACTGACCGAAGTACAGACAGGCATAATAGTGCACGAAGCATCTAGTGACGTTGAAGAAGCAAGGACAATGTCAGAGAAATTGCAGTCTCCAAAAGAAGAGGCTGTCAGGCAGCTACAAATGTGGTCATTTGCTGTGGGGAAATACAAAGGTATGCTCAGAGGTGGAACCAGCATCAAGAGTGCTTTCTTCATTTCATTATCATTATCGTGCCATAACACTGCGTGTCGTTGCTGTTTAGTGACTGATCAGCTCCCTCCACCTTTGAAAGTCAGATGCAATGGGCTACATGGCTGCATCCCTAAGGCCACTTATACTTGTAAACATTAAGATACAGACTAAGGCTGACTCCTTTTTCCCCCCATAAAAAATGAATAGCTCATGATGAAAAGATAATGATGATTTGTTGTGATTATGTATGAATTTATATGATACTGTAGTCTCCAATATATGCTGTTCAAGAAAGTATAGGATCAGTACAACAGGCCTCATTAAGTATATTGACTACCCCCATAAGTTGACCAATTTGCTATAGTCCCTTGGGTAAACAAATTACAGAGGTTCTACTGTAGAAAATAATGCTACAATTTTGGCAAAGATGATAGTGAGGGATGCAATCACTACAGTGTTGGTTGGCAAAGATAACAGTAAGGAATTCAATCTGAAAACAATTCAAATGGCAAAAAAAAAAAAAAAAACAGAAAAGAAAGCAGTCACTTCAATTTTGGCATAGATGATATTTTGGGGTTGTGTGACTGATACATAACACACTTTTACAATCATTAACAAGCACCCACCTACACGAAACAGCAGGTTACTTGGCGTACCTGTAGGGGGCCCTAATATAACTCATATGGAGATGAATGATGTTCACATAATTACTTCCTGATGAATTGTCATCAGAAAAGTGGCCCTTTGAAAAACAAGGTGTCAATCCTTCATGTTGAAATTTTAAGGGAAAATAAAGCTTAAAAAAATGAAGAGGGGAATGTTAATCCTTCCTGCTAAAATCACTGAGTGAAAATACAAAAACAATTCAGAGAGTAGGATGACTTTTTTCACATTCTTAAACTTAGAAGATAGAAATTGTTGTTATTTAATAACAATATCCCTGTGTGGGTTCCAGGATCCTACTGTGGGGAAAACAATAATAGAACTACCACCTCACCAGAAAGCATGTCATAAGAGTCAGCTAACTGGAGGCTTTCTACAAAGTCGGAGTGCATATGCTGAAGAGGCAAGGAACCAACAATCTACATACAAGTAAGTCAGATCTGTAAAACAGATTTGCAAATGTCCAGAGGTGGACGAACAACCAAAACTTTCAGCCAGAGTTTACATCCGGCGAACGCAAAGAAAATGAAGAAGAAAGTAATAACAATATACAAGGGAAAATGCACTTTCAATAAAGAGCATTAGGGTCAAGCAGGTTCTGAACCAAGACCAGGGCTCTTACTGGTCAAAACCTATCTACACCTCACCATGTTCATCCAAGAAACAGGCAGGAGCCCAGCCAACATGGATAGGACTGACGTTTGCATCACCATGTTTATCCAAGAAACAGGTAGGAGCCCAGCCAACACAGATAGAACTGACGTTTGCATCACCATGTTTATCCAAGAAACAGGCAGGAGCCCAGCCAACATAGATAGAACTGACGTTTGCATCACCATGTTCATCCAAGAAACAGGCAGGAGCCCAGCAAACATAGATAGAACTGACATTTGCATCACCATGTTTATCCAAGAAACAGACAGGAGCCCAGCAAACATACATAGAACTGACGTTTGCATCACCATGTTTATCCAAGAAACAGGCAGGAGCCCAGCCAACATGGATAGGACTGACGTTTGCATCACCATGTTTATCCAAGAAACCGGTAGGAGCCCAGCCAACACAGATAGAACTGACGTTTGCATCACCATGTTTATCCAAGAAACAGGCAGGAGCCCAGCCAACATAGATAAAACTGACGTTTGCATCTGCCTGAGAGGTAAGAAACCAATAGTCTGCACATAAATTAACCAGATCTATAAAACGGACATGCATGCTAATTTCAAGTCCTGAAGTAATACTTAAGTCATGAAGTGGACGAATACACAGGACTTTCTGCTGTAGTTTACGGCCGGAAACAATAAGATTTCCTAGGTTTAGCATAGAAACAGAATTGTTCACAAATTAAGATTTTACTTCCAAGTTTTTCTCTCTTTTTTTTTGTGTGGACTGTGTGCATAAAGAATAGATTCTTTAACAACACCTTCCAGTTTTGAATCAGAATAGTGACTTTTATTTGGCTCTTAAAAAAAAAAGGATGAAAAAAAGAACGATAAAAATACAGAGATAAGAAGAAATATTTAAAGGACAAAAAACATTAAAAGAAAAAGAGAACAGCGAGTAAACAAATATTTTTGAAAAAACCTATTTTCTTTCCTTTTTTTTACTATTTTTTACGACAATGCAGTGAAAGGTGGTCACTTTTAGCTGAGAACTGAGGAATGCATAACTAATGCGGCTGCAATGAACTAAAGAGGTTAGGGTCTTGTTTCGGCTGATAACAGAAAGGACATTTCATCCCTTTACTGTGAGCCCAATTCTATCAAATAACAGTCCAATTCCCTAATCACTCAGCCAGATGCTTCTCAAAGACAAGACAAAGTAGACACACAAAAAAAAGAACAGAAGCAAACTGGTACCATTTTGTTATGGAAACACAACTAGGTTTACTGGTGAGTCAAACTATTTGCTTCGCAGACCAACAACAAAATAAGCTATGCTGTCTCCACAGTGGAGGCTGGCCACAACGTTGTCACTGATAAGCATGGGGGATTATTACATGGAGAGGCCCAGTCTCTTCCACACTGTGACTCTCATACCACTGTTTGAAAGCCATGAGAACAGTCTGTTTCTAAACCACCCACCATGGGAACTAAACCATGGTAAACGTTAAGTACTGCACTGTGAAACTATTTCATTAACCTCTAAGCAACAAAGTTGCATAGCACAGAGATTTGAGAAAAATATATATAAATATATATATAAAACAATTTCAGCCAGAATATAGCTAAGGTTTCAAAATTTTAGTAAGAAATAAGGGAGCTGCAGTAGTACAGTATGCTGGCTTTAGACAGCACACACACACACTGGTGTCCCTGTGGTGAAGATCAAGCTGCTTTTATCTCTGCATCATTCGGTTCATGGGTGCAATTTTACGGAGATCCTTGGGGATCGTGGACATAGTTAGAGAGCTAGTGCTTTGTGCAATGCTCTCAGCAGATGGTTAGCTGTTCTGCAGAGACAGATGGGACAATATGGGATAAAACTTGATGCATTGAAATCAGTCCTCTCAAATTTACCCTTAACATTTTACACATGTTAAGAAAAACTAGGAACAATCAACCTGAAATGTCTTTCCAGTGGAACCCACAAGGGGCACGAAAAATAAAAAAACACATGGAGAGGAAAGCTAGAGGGTGAAGTTACAAAGATAGGCAGCACAATAGATGAGATGCATGTGATGGCAAAGGATAGGACAACTTGGCATCAGTTGCTAGAGGGCTCATGCTCCACAGGGGGATAAATGGCACAAGAAAAAGTGGTACAGTGGCTAGATGCTTATCTGCCAGCCCAACGACCTTGATTTTAATCCCCTTTGAAACAGATTTTTTGTTTACAATTTTAGAAAAACAATTCACCAATAAATTTTTTCTTTTTCCCATTGACTGTTGACTGGCTGTAAACTCCAGTGAAAAGTTCTGGTGTTCATTCATGTTTAGTCTTGTTGCAGAACTTGAGTTCTGCATCCACATGAGTTTTACAGATCTGGCTTATATGTAAGCAGTCTGTTGGTTCTTCACCTTTCAGGTAGATGCACGCCAACTTCGAAGGAAACACTCCAAAAAAGTCTACTTTTATGACATGCTAGTCGGGGGGGGGGGGGGGGGGGGGGGGGGGGGGGGATGGTATAATGCCAATATTATCTTAATGCTTGCACTTCTAAAGTTAGTTGTGTCTCCTTTACAGGACATTGCAAAACCAACCCCAGCATTTTTAGGCTGTTGTGGTTTTACTGAGAAAATTTTATGTTCAGTAGTTTGAAATTGCTTTCTGAGCGGTCAGCTCTCGGTACACTGTTGAAACCAACACAAGACAATTGCACTTCTAAACCTTTGAATAACTCAGCATATATCAAAAGGAAACACTTTCAAGATGTAATGACAACAAATAACTTTATTAAAATGTGTCAGTAAAAAAAAAGCAACCCCCCTCCCGCCCCTAAAAAAAACCATTACAACAGATATTATTCACAAATAAAGTGTACCTGAATCCTAACAAAATACTAGTCTTGTCTTCTTGACACTCAACAAACAGGCAACTAGTCCAGCAGCAATTTTTTATATTCACCTTGCAAATTTTGCCAGGAAAACTTTTCCACAAGAATCTGAAATCCAAATAACAAGACAATGAGTAACAATGTCAGCAATGTCATTGAACTCAAGATAAAGATGAATTTATAAAGTAAATGCATCAGGCAAAGAGCAGCTGGCCAAACTGTTAGGAATGCTGGGTTTTCTTGTGAGAGACTCAAATCAGAATCTACAGTAAGGTTATGGAATTCTTTTTTGGGGATAAATAAAATCTCAACCTGTACAGTACATAGTGAGTGCACTAGTCATGCAGCTGTAAATTTTAAAGCCGAATTACCCCTCCCCCACACAGCAAATGTGGTAAATTCCGGCAGTAATGTAGTTTTAACAGCAGCCCATCCAGCTTATCATGCTGGACTGATACTTTTCCAGACTAATCAGTACTCAATGCGTGATGTGGTCAACATAAAGCCAGCAGCCTTTACTTTCCATGACATTTCCTGGTACTCATTTTAGGCTGGTGACAAATATGATTCAAGTAATAAAACTACAGACATGCTTTGACAGACAGTTCAATGTAAGGTTATGTTACTATTATACAGGCTGCGCAGAATAAGACTAAAACGGTATGACACAATCACTGATGCAGAGCTTAGGAAGAGAATTAGGCTGATTCTAGCTAATCAAGAGCTCAGGAACAGATGATGATGATGGACAGGACACACACTGAGTTTTTGTTATTGATCCAGCGGCGCATGAGCTTTCGCCCTTTGGCCTAATGCCATCTAGATGAATCTACATGTTTTCACATGCTGTTCTTTTTCTCCATAAAAGGTGTTTCACTTGTCTCGTCTCATAGGGAGTAGCATTCTTCTAGTCTCGCTGAGTTTAGGGCACTCAAAGAGATGACGGTCAACAGTTTCGTAGATGTAGTTACACAGCCGGCACTCTGAGGAGGACACACATTGAGGGAACCTAATAATACCACTACTTAAAAGTTTTTTCTTTGGAACCCACAAGGAAAAATAAACAAAAGATCTATACACATGTGGAAAAAAGAATTAATACTCGAGATTAATAATTTGGAGAGGGCCTGTTTAACAGTGTTAACTCCTTGGGACATACTCCTAATGTCAAATCAGTTCAGCTGTATGTAGCCGAAAGATTAACCGTAAGATTTTAGTAATATATCTGCAGAATGGCTAGTTACCTTTCTATGACTGAAAAATATCAACAGAACTGATCCAGAACAATCCTCCAAACACACATGGGAGAAAAATATCAACAGAACTGATTCAGAAAAATAAGGATCCAGACTGTGGAGCGACAAGAATAGTCAGGACCGCCTGGCAGAGCAAATGATGATGTTTATGATGATTTTATAATGATGATGTTTATAATGATGATGTTTATGATGATGACAGATAAAAAACAGAATTCACCTTGAATTTGTCCGTTTTTGCAAGGGATGGCCGCTGGCAAAATCGTTTCAGTTCCTTGACCAACTGTGACTGTGTAGCATAAAGACACTCAGCTGTTGAGAATACAATAATGGCATGAACATTAAAATTTAGTAATGAACTTTAACTGAACATTGTTATAAGCATGTTTACATTCAATTGTGTCCTATTCACATCAGCATATTTCTCTCACATCTTGATTCAGTGGGATTTTATAAGTTCCCTCCATAAGCTACCTGGAAGTGATTCTATGTTTTTTTAGCTATGATGTTTATGTTTTGTGAGACACTCTTGAAAGGTAGCTAGCCATTCTGCAGATTTATTACTAAAATCTTAACGGTTAATCTTTCGGCTACATACAGCTGAACTGATTTGACATTAGGAGTATATTACCTGAGCCCTCAGGAAAAGCAACAAATAATAACACAGTAACTGAGTAAGGGATTGAGGCAACACCCACCTGCCCACACTGAACTACAGGCAACTTTGCAACTCTTCTTCTTTTTCCTGTTCACTGGCTGTAAACTCCGTGGAAAGTTCTGGTTGTTCATCCACCTATGGACTTCAAACTTGTTCCAGAACTTGAGTGTTGCGTTCACATCCGTTTTAAAGATCTAACTTGTCTGTATGCAGACTTGGTTCCTTGCCTCTCAGGAAGATACACTCCAACTTCGAAGGAAAACTCCAATTAGTTGACTCTCACGACATGCTTGTTGGGGAGGTAGTGGATCTATTCTTGTTTTCCGCACAATGGGGTCCCGGAACCCACATGGGGAGCTTTGTAATTGTTTTGTGATGCCCCAATATAACACTGAAAATTGAAATATTTTGGTCACTTGAAGCGTAATGAAAGTTTAGAGAGAACAAAAACGGAGGGGTATATACCTGGGAAGAGAGGAAGTAGAAGGCCAAAGAGAAGATGGGTGCAGGATGTGGAGGATAATCCCCATGTCAGGATAAGAATATATTAACTAAAAAAAAAAGCATCAAGGGGTGTTCACTGTCCTTTAAAAGCGATTACAATGTCATAACTTTTCATAGGTCTCAC